TCTTCAGTCTAGTTGTGGAGGACGTTGCTTCACTGGCCCAAGTTGGCACCATCATTACGCTCTTCCTGGGCAAGGCAGATAAGTCACCGGCTTCTGGACGGCCACTCACGGCAGCTTGAAGGCCGCTCACGCTGGCTGCTGGCTACACATGGTTGCCCATGGCAACCCACTGCCACAGGGACTGCAGCCTACGCCGTAGCCGGCGACTCACGGCAGCCCAGCTCTAGGTTAAGCGGTTGTTCATCATCTTAGCTGTAGAGGGCAGCGTCACTGGCCCTCATATGTGGGATCTGAACTGGGGCCCTCTGGTGTCCTAAGCCAGTTCTTAGCCAACGTGCCACTCGGCCGGCACCCAAGTCCACTTTTAAATAACACTATAGTGTTTCACAGGTAGTGCAAGTAATTTACATTAATAATTACAAAATATTCCTAATTCCTTCCTCCCATTCATGTATCATTGTTGTGATTCATTTCACTTATACATAAGCATACATACATATTATATGTAAGCATATATAGTCTAATACATTATTATTTTATTATTGTAATAGCATATATAATCTAATATATTATTTTGAACAAACTGTTATCTGTAAGATCAGTTAAAAATAAGAAAAATAAAAGTGTTTTACTTTACCTTCACTTATTCCTTCTCTCATGCTTTCTTCCTTTATGTAGATCTGAGTTTCTGACCTATAGCATTTTCCTTCTTTCTGAAGAACTTTTTAAAAAACATTTCTTGTGACAGTCGCTCTTCTTCTGGGCCTGCCCACTCTCACACTGTCTTGAGAGTGTGTTGTACTATTTCCTTTGTCTTAATAAATCCACTGCTTGCTTAGCAAAAACAAACAAACAAACAAACAAACAAACAAACAAAAACAATTCTTGCAAGGCAGGTCTACTGGCAAAAAATTCTTTTAATTTTTTAATGTCTGAGAAAGTCTTTATTTCTTCTTGACTTGAAAAAGAATTTCACAGGATACAGAATTCCAGGTTGGTGCTTTGTTTTCGTTTTGTTTTTTTTCTCAACACTTTAAATATTTCACTGTACTCTCCTCTTTCTTAAATGGTTTCTGGAGAGAAATCAGATATAATTCTTATCTAAGCTCTTCTATAGGTAAACTGTTTTTTCCCACTGGCTACTTTCAAATTTTTTTCTCCATATCTTTGATTGTTCTGATGTTTGAAAATGACATGCGTAGGTGGGGTTTTTGGCATTTATTATGCTTGGTTTTTTCTGGTTTTGTGGTTTGGTGTCAGATATTAATTTGGAGAAATTCTCAGTCATTGTTCTGTCAAATATTTCTTCTGTTTTGTTATTTCTTTCTTCTTCTGGTATTTTCATCACACATGTTACACCTTTTGTAGTTGTCCCCCAGTCCTCAAATATTCTGTTGCATTTTTTCAGTCATTTTTCTATTTGCTTTTCAGTTTTAGAAGTTTCTATTGACACATCCTCAAGCTCAGAAGTTCTTTCTTCAGTGGCTCAGTCTACTAACAAACCCATCAAAGGCATTCTTCATTTCTCTTATAGTGTTTTTAATATTTAGCATTTCATTTTTATTATTTCTTAGTATGTCTCTCTTCTTACATTACTCATCTGTTTTTGCATGTTGTCTACTTTTTCCATTAGCGGTCTTAGCATATTTATCATAGTTATATTATTATAAAATCCTGGCCTTATAATTTGAACATTCCTGCCATATTTGATTCTGGTTCTAATGTTTGCTTTGTTTCTTCAAACTGTGTTTTTTGCCTTTTAGTATGCTTTGTGATTTTTTTGTTGGAAGCCAGACAAGATGTACTAGGTAAAAGGAACGGCAGTAAATAGGCCTTTAGAAATGTGTTGGTGAGGTGTGGGGACGTGTACTAAAGCCCTATGATTAGGTCTCAGTCTTTTGGTAAGCTTATGCCCCTATAGATCATGAACCTCACCAGTGCTTCTCAGGTTTTTCCCCCCTCCCTTAGGTGTGACTAGAGGGAGCTGGAGTAGGGTATTTCCCTTCCCCTAGGTATGTTAGGCTCTGATAAAACCCCCATAGGTTAGCTTAGGTAAAATCATTTCTGTCTTGAGAGCTGACCTTGTTACAAGAACAGAGTACCCTGGTGTATTTCAAAATGGCAATTTTTCTCTTCCTTCCTCTGAAGCATGAAGGGGATTGTCCTGTCTTCAAGTTTTTAACTCTCAGATTTGTTCACACTGAGCCCTCAGCTATTCATCATTTCAGTTCAAGTTTTCCTACCCTGATACTAATTCCCATTGAGGCCTCTGCTCCAGCAAGTTTTGATTCTCTGTATCTGCCTGTCTGTCTCTCCAATTTTGGGGGTAGCATTTTCCCCTGTGACCTGAATTCCCTGACAGATGTAAGAAAAGTTAGTGTGTTTTATTTTCCCTCACAGATTGGTCACCTATTTCCTTGTTGTCAGGTTGGGCTAATGATGTCCAAGCTCCTTAAATGCCGAACCAGAAAGCAGAAGCCTTCTTTCTTCTTATTTGATACAGGCATTTACAACTATATATTTGTCTCCTAGGCACTGCTTTAACTGCATCTTATAGTTTTTTTTATGTTGTGTTTTCTTTTTTATTCATCTCAAGATAGTTTTTAATTTCCTTTGCTGTGCTTAAATTTCCTGTAGTGGGTAATACTTCTGTTCCATCACTGTATTAATTTCAGAAAGCATTAGTACCCCTAGGCCCCTGGATTTACTTATACCATTAAAGAGTAATTCCTGAGAAAAAGAGGAACTGAAAGTAGACATGAGTGGCTGGGAAGGTGGGGCTACAACTGAAACCCTAGCTTTTGAAGCCACCATGTGGCCTGTGTTCTTTCAAACCAGTGGTTCTCAACTAGGGGTGATATTGTTCTTCATGCGACATTTGACAATGTCTGGACACATTTTTACTTGTCGTAACTGGTGTAGCAGTTGGTGTGCGACTGGCATCTAGTGGGTAGAAGTCAGAGATGCTGCTAAGTGTCCTACAGTGCACAGGGCAGCCCCTCACAGAAGTTATGTGGTCTAAAATGTCAACACTGCTGCCATTCGAACACCTTTTTTAACCCCTTAAATTGGTGGGACTGTTTCCCACTCACCTAGCAACTACCTGTTCAGGTCTCACTACTGCTTCACAGTGGTCCATGAGGTAGGTGAAATGTCACAATGTGAGACAAGGCGTGAAGCTTATAAACTGAAGCAACCTGTTAGTCAGTAGCAGAGCCTGGACAACCCCTCATCAGCTCAGTTGTTTCCCAAAAAGCCCACAGCTACCGGGCCCAACTTGCTTTGTCAATTCCACCTTTCAAAAGCAAGTCATCATGCATTGTCCTGTGAGTATATGTCTGGCATATTGGTAGACTAAGGGGCTTCTCCTAGTTAAGAATGCTTCACATTGTATTGTAATCCCCTGTTTAATGTTTCCCTCTGCAAATAGAGTGGAAACTTCCTGTGGGCAGCATGGCATTTGGCATAGTATAGACATTCAGTGAACTTTTTGTTGAAAGAATTAGGAGATATGAGAGAAAATATATCAAAATGTTAACTTGGTTATCTCTAGGAGCACAAAATGGAGGGTTTAGCTTCCTCCAGAAGCTGGAAAAGGGGGTATATCCCTAAGACTGATGGGGGAAGAGAAATGGTGTGCCTGTACATAGGATATAATTTGGTTATCATTAATAATACTGGTAAGCATTATTCCTCACATTTCAGCTTCCTTTTCTCTTTGTATTGTTCATACTAGCACCACTTACCTTTATTAAAAGACCACTTTTAATCTTGTTTAAAAATTCAGTGTCTTCAGGTTTTGTCCCCTAAAAGGTCTTATAAAAAACATAACTTAAAAAAATATTTTGTGGTGTTTGACATCAGTTATCATTAAATTATCCTGACATTGAAACTCTATAATAAATCCTCACTTAACATCATCAATAGGTTATATAATTAAGTGAAACAGCATATAACAAAACTAATTTCACCATAGGCTAATTGATATAAACAAGACTTAGGTTCCTACGGCATCTCGTTAACGTTATAACGGGATGATGTTGAATGAATCGACGTTATTTAAGGACCTGCTCTAAGTCTTAAGGTAGCTAGTCTCAATTTTTTTTATCATAAAATGAGAATAATGATCCTATGTTAGCTAACAGACCTTTCCTGAGGATAAAATGATTTAAAGCACACAGAAGCATTCTGAATAGTACTGTGTAAATGGCAAGGTGCCTCCAATTATGGGTAACTCTGAAAAACTGTGTTTGAGTTGTAGTTTGTCTGACAAACTATATAACTAGTTGTGATGCAGTGATTAAACAAAGTAGTTTGCTAGAATGAAGCAAAGCGCATTCAGACTTTGTGCTTCTTACTTACAGTGCTAGCCTGAGTAAATGGGACCTTTTTTTCTAGTAATTTGATTAAAAGATCTAAAGCTATATTTTACTTTGGGTTGTCCTGTCAATTACAGTACCTTGACCTTTGTTTCTCCATAGGTGTTACAGAACATCCTGGACACTGAAAAAGATTATGCTAAAGAACTTCAGTCTCTTCTTGTTACTTACTTAAGACCCCTGCAGTCTAACAACAAGTAAGATTTATCTTTTAAACACCTCACTAAATGAAGCAAGATAATGTCAGCATATGGAATCATTACTCTTATGTCACTGAATAATTGATTTTGCCCTTTAGAAGAATTTCCACGGATCATAGGTTGCCAAGAACATGGTCAGGGTAACAGAAATTATGCAAGCTGTTGCTTTTAAAGAGCTTGTTTGACTTTCTTTCTCTTCTGGCTGTCAGGGAAGGGATGAGAAGATCTGCATTTCTGTTTGTCACAATTTTTATCTTGTATGTTTTTAGAAGTGATACATCTGGTTTTAACTTACAGAAAAAGAGGACTTGTTGGTGTTTTTATGCAGAAAACACATAAACTGGAAATTCTTGTGCTCACTCTGACCTTTCCTTGCCAGGGCAGAAACTCTTTCCCATGCTGTGAGAGTGGAAAGAGTGTGGTATTTTGTGAATGTTCATAAGAGTGATTCAAGCTAGTATTTTACCCAGGCAAAAGTGAATGATAAGGAGATGTTAAAATGTTTTTTAAAATAAAATGTTCAAACCTTGTTCTTGTCTTAGAAGTCTGAAGTGATTGCCTGAATTGAAAACTTAGTTTTCACAAAAGAAAGATATTGGCCATTCTTTCTTTTGTGTGTGCTTATAGGCATGACATATTTAACGAACAGTGGCTAACAGCATTTGTTTGCATTTTTATGTTAATTGATTAAACTTTATTAAAGATTATGATCTGTAAGTCAAATAGAAAATTTAGCAGTTGGTCTATATACTGGAGGACAAAAGCCTCTTCTTTAACTTCAGTAAGAGTTTACTTTTGTTAGTGGCCTAAACTTTTGACTTCAGGCTTACATAAGTTCAATATATTTCACTATTTTTCTCCCTTTTTCCAAATTGTGTTTGCTTAGGCATAATGTCTTCCTAATTTCCCACTTGGTTATTTTCATGGCACTATGGGAATCTTACTTCGGTATGAAAGAATTTTGTATTCCTGTGTTTTGTAAGGATTTAAACATGATCAACAACAAAGTGTCTTTTGTCATTATTATGTAAAACGTGAAGTGCTCTGTGAATCATAGTTCTTAGAGCTGAATGGACCTCAATGAATCATTGAATCTAGTGCCCTGGAAGAAATGACTATCCCCACTGAATGAATAAGAAAGCTGAAGTCCAGAAAGGCTTACTGCCATACCCGTTACACAGCCAGTCAATAGCCAGACTGGACCCACTGTGTCTCCTGCCACCGAATGAAATGTGCCTTCCATTTTCTGGAGGTGACAAGTAGAGAAGGAGTGGGACACTGAAGTGGTAACCCTGGGAGGGGAGAGGGTAAGATTTCAAATGAAGGAGCGACTAATTAGCCATCAAGAAACAGTAAGAAGAAAGGAAAGGGCAGAGGAAGTGAGAGACCTGAGTCAGACCCGCCACTGTTCTGAAATGAATTCAAAATGCGGTCAGAGTAAGTTTCCATTGGATCTGTCTTGTAGATCCCAGAGTGATTTGAGCCAACCAGACTGTTTATTTTCAGATCCTGCAGGGGCCAAATAAGCCCCCCCACAGTCAGGTTCAAATAAGCCCCCAAGTCAGGTTCTTGGGATTGTGAGAGAGCAACCGCCAGGGGAGCTGGCTCAAGGTTCCACTTTTGGCACCCATCATAGGGGTTTTCCAGCTTGTGGTTCAGGAGGGCATGACAGCAGAGGAACTGGGAGCTTTTTATGCTCTAGGGGTTACTGGTAACCTTTATTTGAGCCTTCCTTTTCTTTGTCAGCAAAAATTACTCTCTTGGAAACATTCCCCTAGTATTATTATATTAAGGAGAAAGGACATGTGGCAGACACTGGCCTTTTAAGGAAATCGTCAACAAAGTTTTCTCTCCATAAGTGGCTAAGAGCGAGAATGTTTTGATTCAAAATCTGGCTTCACCATGCACTGGCTTTGTAACTTTGGGTGCTTTGCTTAACCTCTCTGTGTCTGGGTTTCCTTACATGTAAAATGGAAGCAGCAGTAGTACCTACATCATAAAGTTGTTGTAGGGTTCAAATGAGTTATTATTTGTAAAATGCTTGCGTAAGTGTAAAGTGCTATATGAGTGTTGCTGGATCTTGTTGTTATTATCACCTACTAGTATTTGATACGGGAAGAATGATTGAGAAAATTCTTAAGACGGAGGCCCTGGATAAAATTGTTCCATTTGCCTTCACTTGACCCCATTCCACTCCAAAAGCAAACAAATCAGTACTACTTTCTTCCCTTCTACTTCCTTTCATAAAGATTTCCTTTAGTTGATTTGTGAGCATTCTAACTTAGGAGAAACTGGATTTTGCTCTTTCCCCTCATGGGATGAGCATATGTAATACCTTGTTATTACTATCCCAGCTCTTCTAGAAGAGAGTACTCAAAAGTTTTTACATGTATGCCCACCTATGATGTATTCTACTTATTTAGATGGTAACATTTTTTATTGAGGTATAATTGACATATAATATTGTGTTAGTTTCAGGTGTACAAAGTAATGATTTTATATATATATATATATATATATATATATATATATATATATATATATATAATGTGAAATGCTTACCACAATAAGTCTAGTTAACAGCCATCACCCTACGTAGTTATAAAAGTTTTTTTCTTGTAATGAGAACTTTTAAGAGCCACTTTCTTAGCAACTTTCAAATATGCAATACAGTATTATTAACTATAGTCACCATGCTGTATGTTACATCTCCAGGACTTATTTATTTTATAACTGGAAATTTGTATCTTTTGACTCCCTTCACCCATTTTATCCACCCCCACACCCACCTCTGGCAACCACTAGTCTGTTCTCTGTAGATTCTTAGATATTAAGCACTTGTTCTTCATTTACTCATTGATTTGTCAAATACTTAACAAACACTTATAAATACCTTATTAAATACTCATTTTTCTTTAGGATCATTATTCTTATTATGGAAAAGGGAAAAGGAAAGAAACTTTAGAAGATTGCTTAAAACCAGAGTTGGTATAAATGAAAAAGCAAACGTTCAAATATAGGAATTACTTCCCTTGTCCCATTTGCCACTTATTAGCAAACTATCAGCTCACCAGACTAGACATAGATAACTAGAGCCATCCATCCTCAAGTTCTATTCACTGATACTACATATATATATATGTATATACAATTTTTTTCAGTCTGAGTACTGTGGAGTTTACATCTTTATTGGGAAACTTCGAGGAAATATGCACATTTCAACAGACACTCTGCCAAGCCTTGGAAGAATGTTCAAAGTAAGTGTCTCATATTGCCATAAGGACAGCCAGCACCATTGTTTTTGTGATTTGTTTTCCTTCTAACTGTTGTCTTAGATAGAGGGCACTTTATATTTATGCATTTGTTGCAACTTTGATAAATCGTCCCAGTGCAGAGAATATGCACCAGGTGGTAGTGCTCACATTGTCAAACCACTAGTTGTATTTTTTACTTTATTTAAAAATCATATCAGTTTACTGCTTCTGGTCAGTATAAGAGACAAATAAGGTCTCAATGGACCATGGATGATGCCTTTGACATAGATTAGATGTTTTCTTTGGTACATTGCAAATTATTTGGAAAAGTTATTCAATTATTCATTCAGTTTCACAAACTTGTTTTCCTCTTTTAATCACTCCTGGTATCACATCTATTATATTCATAGTTGAAGGATATGAAAGGTGGAGAAAGGAAAAGTATATCTTTATGTGAACCACAACACATATTTGCTAGCTAGCTAGATTGTTGAGGTGTTCAACTTCATACTATAGAATGAACTGTAATGATCATCAGGCAGTATATTTCTGTAGTAGGATTAATTTTCCAAGTAGCATATTTTGGAGAAGTTGGTGACTTTCATTGTCCATAGGAAAATCGGGGCACTTGCCTGTTTCTTGAGCTTTATGGGACACAGGTGGTTGTTGAGAGAAGAAGATGGTGAGACCCCACAATAAAGAGACCTGAGGAGCCACTCCAAATGCTGATCCAGATACGGATTATTGATACGGAAAGGTGGTCACTAAGTGAGAGGAGTAGATTACAAACTAGATTTGTAATCTTTATTTTACATTTTATAGAGAAACACAGAAAAGTTCCAATGAATATGACAAAAATCATTATAATAGATATCTCTGAATGGTGGAATTCTGAGTAAATTTTTCTTTCCTGTGCTTTTCTGATTTTTCTACAAATGAAAATGGGTGGGTTGTCATTTAAAAAATTAATTTAAAAAATATATATGTTCTTCGGTTTGGCTGCCTTTTTTATTAAAATTTACTGGTGTGACAAATGGTTAGTAAAATTACATAGGTTTCAAGTGTACCGTTCTGTAATACATCATCTATATATCACATTGTGTGTTCACCACCCAGAGTCAGTTCTCCTTCCATCTCCATATATTTGACCCCATTTACTCTCATCTACTCCCCCTTCTAAAATCTTGAGGCCATGTTGCCTAGCAACCACCAGGCCACCAAGACTACATAATATTCCTTTTTGGATTGTTAGTTTTGTCTGTATTTGAACTTCATCTAACTTAGCCAAGCATATTTTTAGTGTGTCCAGCTACAAATTTGAATATTATAATTTGAATAAGCATCTTAAAAGAAAACCTTGCCTACTGTTTCCTAATAAGTATCTGACCCTATGTATTGGCACTATGCTTGATGGCTGGTGTTAAAGCAGTGGTCAAGTACTTGCATTTCATGGATAAATGGTTGTAATATAGTTTCTCTTTTAACTTTGGCAAAAAGAATTTGAAAGGTTTGTATGTTGCTAGGTTTAATTAGAATCATCTTTATTTATCCCCTGTTTTGTTTTGTTTTTTTACATTCTGTGTTTCACCTGTTTTACCTATAGGTTTCCAGAAAATCAACACAAAGTAGGAGGTTGTCTACTGAACCTCATGCCTCATTTTAAATCCATGTATCTGGCTTACTGTGCAAATCATCCTTCAGCTGTAAATGTACTCACCCAACACAGGTAAATCATTAACATTTCCCCCAAATAAGCTGTTTTACAATGAGATCCTTTCCTAGGACCACCTCATTTGGAAATTCAAGGTCTTCAGTCCAACTCTTAACTATTTTCATTCATCATGCCAGGATTTGATTCATTGTCACATAAATTGATTGTTTATTAAAGCAACAAATAATTTACTGAGCACCTAATATGTGCAAGGTCCTGTACTAGCTGATGGGGATACAACAGTGAACAAGGAAGAGATGGTCCCTACCCTCATGGTGCATAGAATCTTGAGGAAAAGACAGACATGAAATATTGTAAGCATGTTGTATACAAAAGGATAATTAAAAGGATGCTGTAAGATTTTACAACTTGATATCAACTTCACGGGGGTGAGAGGAGGGTTGGGGAAGGCATTCCTGAAGTAAAATTCTATTTAGATCCAATGGGCTAGGCTTCCCATGTCCCAATGAATTATCTGAGTTGCTGACAAATAGCTAAACTGCCTAGGTTCATCTCTTTTTTCAATTCCACTTTGTCTGGTAGAGGAAGTCTCAGGCAGTGCTATGGTTAAAAGGCAGATATTAAAATGGAAAGGGCTCTGATAATAATTATGCAATGAATATAAATTGTTTCTGATTCATGGAGGACAACAGAATCCTGTCTCCTTTAAGAGTCCTTGCAAGGGACTGGGATAAATCTCCTACCCTGCTTGACCCTCTGATTACCCATTCTTGACACATTCACTGACACATTCATCTGGGCCAGAACACTGTATGATAGTCTTAAAGATGCAGTTTTAACTTTGAGATCGTATGCTAGAAATCCAGGTGGGACAATAGCAAGAACAACACGCAGAGGCTCTTAGGACTTAATCTGGAGACTAGATTCGTAATGAACATGAATTGTAGAGGCTGCTCAAGACTGAAGAGAATATTCTTCTATTAATCTGGCCCAGATTTAAGCTCCCAGAGCCAGGCTAGAACATGAGTTGATAGCAGCCCTCAGAAGTGGCAGAAATTTGGTTTTGTCCAGATTTGTTAAGAGCTTTCTTGACTTTATAGAACAGTTATGTAGACATTTTTAAGGTAGAATTCAATAGGTCCTACTTGAAGGTCAATTTTTTTCCCTCAGATCAAAGTTGTGAACTCTTATGGAATAGCAAATATGGAAACTGAATTTAAAGAAAGAGAAGCCATGACTCTGGGTTATTTAAGCAAGTGGCTCAACTGCTTAGAGTTCATATTAGCTAATAATAACACTGACAATGTGCCAGGCACATGATTTAAAAGTCTATGAGGGAGTTACTATTATTACCACCTCCGCTTTACAGATAAGACATTGAAAGGTCAAGTAATCTGCCCAAGAACTCATAGCTGTTAAGTGGTTAAGCTAAAATTATAATTCAGGTCTGTCAGACTTCTAAAAATATTTTTAGTAAAGTATATATTTTACCTACAAAGAGAATAAGCTAAATTCAAATTTAAAGAATTATAATAAAATGAACACCCATATACACACCACCCAGCTTAGGAAATAAAAATTTACCATTTCCTTTTTATATAACAGCTTTATTGAGTAATAATATATATGCCTTACAATTCACCCATTTAAAGTGTATTCTTGGATTATTTTCAGTATATTCAGAGCTGTGCAACTATCACCACAATCCATTTTAGAACATTTTTATCACTCCCCAAACAAACCTATACTCATTAGTAGTCATTCTCCATTACCAGCCCAGGGCAACCAGTAAAAATACTTCATCACTATGGATTTCCTATTCTGGACATGTAATTTAAGTGGAATCACATAACATGTGGCCTTTTGTGTTTGGCTTCTTTCATTTAGCATAATGTTTCCAAGGTTCATCTATGTTGTAGCACTTATCAGTACATTGTTTAAAATTTTTAAAAATATAACTAGTCCAACTATCCTTTGATTACTGTTAGTATGTCTTTCTCCACCCCTTTACTTTTCATCTATCTGTGTTTTTTAGATAACGTACATGTGAGGCTTGTTTTTTCAAATCTAGTCTGACAGTCTCTGTCTTTTAATTGGCATATTTAGACCATTTACATTTAAAGTGGTTATTAATATACTTGGATTAATATTTACCATGTTTGTAACTGTTTTCTATTCATTGCAGTTATTCTTTGTTTCTTTATCAGCACCCCTTTTACTGCCTTCTCTGGTTTTAGTTAAACAGTTTATATGATTTCAGTTTTTCTACTCTCGTAGCATATTATTCTTCTTCTGACAAAATTTTAATGATTTCCCTAGAGTTTATAATGTCCATTTATCACTAATTTAACAGCATTTCCACATAACACTTTACCATTTCATAGGTAGTGCAGGTGCCTTATAACAGAATGTTCTCAATTATTTGTCCTCATCTCTTATAACATTGTTTTCCTTCATTTCGTTTATCTGTAAGGCAAAAATCACCCAATATATTGTTACTATTAGTATTTTGACCAGTTATCTATTAGATCCTTTAAGAATAAGAAAAAGAAAAGATTCTATTTTACCTGAATTTATTATTTTATGACTCTCTTTCTTTTTTTATGTAGACCCAAATTTCCTTCTCTCTGAACTTTAACAATTTTTGCATAGGTGACAACTTCCCTCAGTTTTTGTTTGTCTGAGAAATTTTTATTTCTCCTCCACTTCTTTTTTCCCTTTTTATTTTTTCAAAGGAACGAAGTTTTATTGTTTTTTAAAAATATTTTTTGTTAAAAATATAGCTAACACACAATAATATATTAGTTTCAGGTGTACACCATAGTTATTCAACATTTACATACCTGAAGAAGTGATCACCACGATAAGCCCAGCAACCATCTGACACTGTACCACGCTATCACAATATTATTGACTATATTCCCCATGCTGTACATTACATCCCCAGGACTTATTTGCTTTGTACCTGGAAATTTGGACCTATTATTCTCCTTCATCCCCCCCTTTTTAAATTTTCAATTAAAGCTGACATTCAATATTATTTTATATTAACTTCAGGTGTACAGCATAGTGGTTAGACATTTATATAATTTAAGAAGTGATCCCCCTGACTAGTCTAGTACCCACCTGGCACTGTACATAGTTATTACCATATCATAGACTATATTCCCTATGCTTTGCTTTACATCCCCATGACTATTTTGTAACTGAGAATTTGTACTTTTTTTAAAAAGATTTTTATTGGGGAATTGGGGGATGGGAACAGTGCTGGGGAATTGGGGGGAGGGGAACAGACAAGTTGCTGTCCTTTTTGTTCTTCAGTCTAGTTGTGGAGGACGTTGCCTCACTGGCCCAAGTTGGCACCATCATTGCACTCTTCCCAGGGGAGGCAGATCAGTCGCAGGCTTCTGGATGGCCGCTCACTGCGGCTGCTGGCCGCTCACGCTGGCTGCTGGCTACACACGGTAGCCCATGGCAACACACT